ATCTCCATTCCAGCACCAAGGCTAAGTCGTAGGGATAATTGTGGGGCAAAATATTAAAAATAATATTTTGTGAAAAGTATGAAAAATTATGAATTGTTCATATTAATATAAAAATATAAAAAATATACATACAACGTTCTCCCTTTTGACCTCAGGGATGGGAAGAGGGGAGGACATGGGCAGTAATACTGACATTGCAAATTCGTTGTTAGCATGTTCTCCAATATGGTTCCAATATGCACAGAATTGATATTACCTAGCCTGGAACTGTTTTGGGGCTCGCTTATGAAGCTCCAATGGTGCTGTCAGAGATAGAGTTACAATCCCAGCAGCAGAGGGATTAAATTCTGTATGTGCAGCATATCTTAGCGACACACTGCACACACAGACTCCAAGCAAAATGACCACTTCAAATCACTGAAGTGGTCATGGTGCTTAAAATAACCATTTATTGCTGCACATTTTCGTTGAGAGGAGTGAATTCAATACATATCACCAACTACGTCTGCAGCTGTTAGATGATGGGTGGAAGTTGGTATGTTAACATTGTAATGGTTAGACCTAAGGAAAATAAAATATTTCTACAGCTAGGTGGCAGTTACCCTAGGAATAACCCTGATAATATATCGATAGAGCTGCTTTTTTTTTTCCAGCACATTTGTCCCGCTGTATGTGCAGGAATATACATTATTTAGACAAACGATTTGGATCCCTAAAATGATTTAGGAGCCCACAATAGTATTTGAGCTAGTATTCTGCATGGTGTATAACTGTGTCATTATTCGATTACACTTCCACTATACTGGGAATTATCTGTTTGTTTATGGAAATACTATTTTTCTTGCTTTCATTTTTTTGTTGTGTTACCTTTTTGTGCAATAATAAGAATAAATATTTCCTGTGGTATATTAAGTCATAAAGGATATGTATTGGGTTTATTGTGCTCATATCTATTGTACGTTTTAGTTAACTTTATTCCATTTTTTATTAAATGAAGATTTTTATTTTTATTTTTTAAAGAAGAAAGCTAAGAAATACCACACCATCCTTTTCTGACCCTCTGCTTTATTTTATATATTTTTTTATTTCTTTATGGTCATCAACCTCAAAGATCTTCCCAGTTCTAGTTTAGACTGGGGGGGGGGGTTTACTAAACACCAAATTTTAGTGAACTGAAAACTAAGTTGTAAAATGTTTAGTTGATTTGGAATTTTTTAAAATACAATGTCTTGTTAAGGATGTTTATAACAACATAACAGAGTTTGCAGGATTCTACGATCTGCAAAGTTACTGGTTGAGCGTAATCATCAAGCAAAGCTGGCGGAGCTTATCCAATTTTGCCGCGCTTTCCCTCCGGGAGCGCACAAGGGCAGATCCTGGCGGCTAGTACCCTTCTGTGGTCATGATCCCGGTGGCAATGGCTCCTGCTTTCCTGTTACCCATTGGTCTTCACACTACATTGTTGTACTGTATGTATGTTGTGTTAGGGTCAATCCATCCTGGTTGTTTCCTTCTGCTACTTTAGGTCCTTGCCTGTTTGGTGCTATACTATACTGTGTCTGGGGCCTATAATGTAAATTAGCACTGCCTATTCCTGGGTGTATATTTTGCTATCTGACCTCTGGCCTACCCTGGCTATTTAGTGTTTGTATGTCCTATAGTGCTGACATTGGCTCCCCTGCATAGCAGCTGTTTGCCATTTTAAGACCTGTGGTGTTATTGCTTACCCCTATACTGTACCTGCCATACACCTAACTATGCAAGCGCGGGGATGACGGGGAAACTATGTTTACTATCCTGCAAACAAGTCTCTGATATCAGAGCTTTGGCTTGGACCATGATATCCTTCACTCCAGGGGGCATATCCTTTGACATCTCTCGTAGAACTAAATCAGCTACGAAAAAGTTTTTAATCCCAAGTACAATGACAGACCAACATTGTGTCCGGTCGCTTGTTTACGTTCTTACCTTGATTGTACACTGGCGTTACGATCATCCAACCTCCCTCATCTGTTCATTTCACTCCGTAAACCTCATCTTCCAGTCTCTACTCTAGCTCGTTGGATACGTGACATACCGTCAATGGCGGGTATAGCTACTTTGGTGTTTTCAGCTCATTCCGTAAGAGATGCCACGGCCTCTCTGGTGGGTTGCTATCTCGACATATTGAGAGCTGCAGAGCCTCCATGGTGGGTTGCCATCTCGACATATTGAGAGCTGCAGATTGGTCACACTAATCCACATTTCGTGACTTCTATTTCAGCCCGATTGGCTATTTCTCTTCTTGGGCTGTTGCTTAGCTTTGAACTAGCATAATAGGAGCCTCCACATCATTAATAAAATTTCCAGAACATGTCATAAAGTCATGATTTTATTAATGACACAGAGGCGAGTATACGTTGGATACTTCACGGTAAGTGTCGGTAAGTGTATTCTGGGATGTTTCATACTTTAATTATTTATTTAATCCATCACCAATTATGCTTATACATATATATACCTTGTATACTTCCAAGTTTGTCTTGATATTGTGAATAGTTAGTCCTGAGACTGGATTTTACCATATATCATTTTCTCTCCACAGCTTAATTGTCAAGGGATGAAAGTAGCCATGTTGACAGTATACGTGGTTTTTTTGAAGTTTCGGATTGGATTCTGGTCTTTGGCTTTACGGGCAAAGAAGAAGAAGTTTGATGCTAGTTCAGACCTTTATAGACTGTCCCGTATCCTGATTGGCTGCCCTGTTCCTAGGCAGACTTGTTATATTTGTTCTATTTATTCATTTTATAATAATAATAATAACAAAGTATTTAAGCAGGAAATACTTTCAATTTAATATATATATATATATATATATATATATCTTTCAATCTTTGCTGCTGAGGGAAAATGAAAATCATGACTTTAAGTCATGTTAATAGTAAAATCTGGGAATTACGATTGTATTCTGTAAATAACAGATTAGAAATATGGCACATAAAAAACACGTTAAACTTAACATTTGTAACGTGGAGTATGTGGGCAGCAGACTGATCACGCTTTTAATAATCTCAAATATAGAACATCCAAAATTTAAAGCAAACCCATAAACCTTGATGGTACTGATAGTTAAACCAGGATGGAATTTAAGAGTAAGTAATTCCAAAATTAAGGGAATGGTGTCAGACTCACTAGAAGTAGATTGAAAAAGTGCTGCTTCAAAGTGTGGGCTTACAGCAGGACAAAAAAAAAAGCTAAGTTTTGTTTGATTTAAATTACTAACCTCATTAAAATGTCAGACTTAGTTCAGTGTAATAGTAATAGTTGTTATGCATTTGTTTCACGTTCCACTTTTTGGAGATTTGGATGCTGTCTAACCTGTAGACAGTTCTCTATATTGCGGAAGGAGATTGTATTGTTGAAGTCTGAGATTTGTAAATTATCCGGCAAACAAACTCAGGCTGTAACTGTTGCAAAGCCACTGCCGCAGAGACGTACAGGGAATGCCAAATGGATTACTATAGGATCTGGTAGACTTAGAGCTGTGGATAAAAGGCATAGTGCACAGTCTGTTGCTCTACATAATTAATTTTCAGCACTTTCAGAGTGTAATGGTGTTATGGATACAGGCTCAGGCACAGAGTGTAGTGGTGTTGTGGAGACAGGCTCACGCACTGAGTGTAGTGGTATTATGGAGACAGGCTTGGAGACTATGGTGAGGACTGATAGGAAGCAGTAGTTGTTGCGGGATTCCATCATAAGAGGTGTGGAGCTGGACAATAGTGGTCTTGTGAGATGTCTTCCTGGAGCTACTGCTCACAGAGACAGGAGACGTATTTTTTATATTGTTAAGCAAGCAAAGCAGGAAGGGGAATTGGATGTACTTGTCCATCTAGGACAAATGACTTGGCTTGAGGTTTTCGAGGTTAAGGAAGTTTTTTGTGTTTTTGCCAATGATAAACGGCAGGTTGCTTCCACACTGTCATTCTCTGAAGTTCTGCCTGTACATAACACTCAGAACGACAGGCGGATGCGTATTAGGGACTTTAACTTGTGGCTTGGTTAATGGTGTCGGGAGCAAGGATTTGGCTTTATTTCTCATGGTAGCTCTGTTTGGAATGGAAATAAATTGTACAAAAAAGATAGCTTGCAGCTTTCTCAAAAGGGAACAAATGTTCTCAGTGAGCAGTTCAGAGGTTTTGCTAGGATGTATATGAACTAGGAGGGGACAAAAGGGTGATAACACATCAATCCAATTGCCCCCCAAAACAAGGACATAAGGTGCCTGTAGCAAGTGGGTTAAAAATTGATAAGCTTAGAGTCATGTCTACTAATGCTCGCAGTTTAGGGAATAAGATCCATGTAATTGTGGCAATAATGGCAACTGATAATGTGGATTTAGTCGCTATCACTGAAACATGATATAATGAGAAGTATGACTGGGTCATAGCAATACCAGGGTACTCTTTATATAGAAAAGACAGAGAAGGCAAGAAAGGGGGAGGGGTGGCCCTGTATGTGAAGGATAGCATAAAAGCTAGCCTAGTAAACGTTAGTGAGGCAAACATAGAGTCTGTTTGGGTTAATGCGAAAAAAGAGGGGGTCAAGGGCTGCGCTTAGGTAAAACAGATATGTTGAAATATATAAGATCGTGTATATGTAAAATAAACAGCGGTAATAAAATCAAATAAAGTTCATCCGGATTTTCTTAAAAATATAGAATAAAAACAGTCTCACTGATATGTAGTACCACGATATTAATCCTCAAGTATGGCTCTGTCCGTGTGGTAGGTAGTCCATATATGTGAAGATAAAAAACAAGAAAGAAAGCTGCCTATGGTGAAATATTGTTGGTCCTGATGTGGTATATAATCAAAGGAAATATGTTTCACTCACATTTGGTGGAGCTTATTGCCAGCTCTGGGAGAAGAGGCACTTAGTGGTTTGATCCCCACTAACGGATATACTTAGATGGTCCGTTTAAAAGGTAACCAAAAATAACTTTTATTGATTAAAATACACTTATTAAAACCATTTACGCGTTTCACCTTTGGGGTTTTCTCAAAAAAAATTTTGAGAAAACCCCAAAGGTGAAACGCGTAAATGGTTTTAATAAGTGTATTTTAATCAATAAAAGTTATTTTTGGTTACCTTTTAAAACTAGGACCAATTGCATACTTATTTGTATTTTATACACTTTCTTTTTACCCCTGGCATTTTATATATATATATTATTTTTTCATATATATTTTTTGTATTTAACACTATAGTTTTATCCACCTTTTTTTATTATTTTTTATTATTTTTTATTCAATTTTTTACCTGGAAGCATATTCCGTCCAAAGAAATCCTTAGGTGGGGATAATTCCACCAGCGCTGTGGCAATAGAGCAGTATCCATCTGCTCCATTCTTGTAAGTATTATTCATTTATAGATATCACTTTGTTGTTCATACTGAGAGCACTATTTTGCTGTCTCATATATACTCCGTGGACACCTACCACCCGATACTGGAAAGGCGGACCTATCTTCCAAGCATCAAGAAAACAACGTATATGTGAAGTAGATCCTAGCCGACACCACAGGAATCCCAAGCCGGACAGACGGACCATCTAAGTATATCCGTTAGTGGGGATCAAACCACTAAGTGCCTCTTCTCCCAGAGCTGGCAATAAGCTCCACCAAATGTGAGTGAAACATATTTCCTTTGATTATATACCACATCAGGACCAACAATATTTCACCATAGGCAGCTTTCTTTCTTGTTTTTTATCTTCACATATATGGACTACCTACCACACGGACGGAGCCATACTTGAGGATTAATATCGTGGTACTACATATCAGTGAGACTGTTTTTATTCTATATTTTTAAGAAAATCCGGATGAACTTTATTTGATTTTATTACCGCTGTTTATTTTACATATACACGATCTTATATATTTCAACATATCTGTTTTACCTAAGCGCAGCCCTTGACCCCCTCTTTTTTCGCATTTCCTACATAAGGGTTCCGTGAGGGATCTCCCTTTTTGGGTTGCTGCTCAATTGAACTAGCGCAGACTCTTCCTCTGTTTTGTTTCTGTTTGGGTTAAGTTAGAATCTGGTAATCACAGTAACTCATGTAGGTGTGATTTATAGGCCCCCAGGACAAATAGAAGAGTTAGATAATCTACTAGTTGAGGAAATAGCTAAAATCACAATGAAGGGGGAAGTTATCATTATGGGTAACTTTAATCTTCCAGATGTTACCTGGAAAATTAAAATAGCTGCTTGTGCCAGGAGCACACATATTCTAAACTCTCTACTGGGATTGTCTCTAAAACAAGTCATTGAGGAGCCAACTCGTAAAAAGGCCATACTAGATTTAGTGTTAGCAAACAGAGATTTTGTATCACATATTACTGTTGGTGAAAGTTTAGGATCCAGTGATCATCAGTCAGTGTGGTTTACTATAAGAACAGTGACTAAGTTTACACACAAAAACTAAAGTTTTAGACAAAAACAGACTTTTTGTAAAATTAGAATATGTGTAAAGGAATCCTTATCAGACTGGAGCAGTTTAAATGGAGTGCAAGAAAAATGGGATCATTTAAGTTGCACTGCTGAAGGCAATAGAAAATTGCATTAAGGCTTGTCAGTAAAAGCAAAAAATTCAAGAAACTACTGTGGTTCTCTACAGATATGGCCAAAATAGTAAAAAACAAAAAGTTAGCATTTAGTAATTATAAAAAAAAAAAAAACAGAGTGAGGAAGATAGGCAGATCTATAAGGTTGGGCAGAAAGAGGCTAAGCAAGTTATAAGAGCTTCCAAATCACACAGAGAAGAGAAAATAGCCCAGTCAGTAAAATAAAAAAGGGGACAAAACTTTTTTTAGATACATAAATGAGAAAAGGAAAGTAAAACAAGCATTCGTTAGATAAAAAACAAAAGAAGGTATGTAGAAGAGGATAAACGTCTAGCTGACTGCCTCAATGAATATCTTTGTTCAGTATTTACAGATGAAAATGAGGGAAAGGGGTCTCAGTTAGGAAAAAAGACAAATGAGTGATTTGTTACATGTGAGTTTACAGAGAAAGAAGTTCTATTTCAACTTTCAAAAGTAAAGACAAATAAGTCAATGGGACCTGATGAAATACACCCAAAGTTATTAAAAGAGCTTAGTGGTGTACTAGCAAAACCATTAACAGATTTATTTAACCAATCATTGATAACAGGAGTAGTCCCAGAAGATTGGAAGTTGGCAAATGTTGTGCCCATTCCCAAGAAAAGTAGTAGGAAGGACAACTATAGGTTGGGCAACTATAGGCCAGTAAGCCTTGCTTAAGTAGTGGGGAAAGTAATGAAAACCATGTTAAAAGATAGGATTGTTGAACATCTAAAATCACATGGATTTCAAGATCAGAGACAACATTGGTTTACTTCAGGGAGATCATGCCAAACTAATCTTATTGGATTTTTAGATTGGGTAACTAAAATAATAGATCAGGGTGGTGCTGTAGATATTGCTTACCTAGATTTCAGAAAGGCTTTAACACTGTTGCACATAGAAGGCTTTTCAATAAACTGCAATCGTTAAGTTTGGATTCCAATATTGTTGAATGGGTAAGGCAGTGGCTGAGTGACAGGCAACAGAGGGTTGAAGTCAATGGAGTATATTCAAAGCATGTTTTTGTCACGAGTGGGGTACCTCAGAGATCTGTACTTGGACCCATTCTCTTTAATATTTTTATTAGTGATATCTAAGAAGGTCTTAATGGTAAGATATGTCTTTTTGTTGATTATACTAAGATATGTAGCAGGGTTGATGTTCCAGGACGGATAAGCCAAATGGCAAATGATTTAGGTAAACTAGAAAAATGGTCAGAGTTGTGGCAGCTTACATTTAATGTGGATAAGTGCAAGATAATGCATCTTGTATGTAAAAACCCAAGGGCAGAGTACAGAATATTTGATAGAGTCCTAACCTGAGGAAAGGGAATTAGGAGTAATTATTTCAGATGACTTAAAGGTAGGCAGACAATGTAATGGAGCAGCAGGAAATGCTAGCAGAATGCTTGGTTGTATAGGGAGAGGTATTAGCAGTAGAAAGAGGGAAGTGCTCATGCCATTGTACAGAACACTGGTGAGACGTCACTTGGATTATTGTACGCAGTATGACATTGATGCTTTGGAGAGAATTCAGAGAAGGGCTACTAAACTGGTTCATGGATTGCAGGATAAAACTTACAAAGAAAGATTAAACGATCTTAACATCTATAGCTTGGAGGAAAGACGAGACTGTGGGGATATGATAGAAACATTTAAATACATAAAGGGAATCAACACAGTAAAGGAGTAGACTATATTTGAAAGAAGAAAAACTACCACAAAAAGAGGACATAGTCTTAAATTAGAGGGGTAAATGTTTAAAAATAATATTAGGAGGGTAGTGGATGCATAGAATAGCCTTTCAGCTGAAGTGGTAGAGGTTAACACAGTGGAATTTAAGCATGTGTGGGATAGGCATAACGCTATTCTAGATATAAGATAAGGCCAGGGACTAATGAAAGTATTTCGAAAATTGGGCAGACTAGATTTGCCGTATGGTTCTTATCTGCCATCACATTCTATGTTTCTATGAAAAAAAAACTCCCATTCTTTGAATTCCTCAATCATATTTCTATAACTTATCCTAGTCATGGCTCTTAAGAATGAATTAATAATATCCAATACCTGGTCCAAGAAAAGGGAATGGTTAACAGCCTACCAGGGTTGCAATCCACATCAGCTGTGGGAGTTTCAGCAAAGGAGTGCTGGTTCCCTGACAGCATTCCACAATTAAGCCCAATGGCATCTTAGTTTCCTTGACTAACTGATGGTTTAAGAAATACAAGGGTTTGGAGGTCCAGATTTGGTAACTAAACTCTGTACCCTGTCCCTGCAGATCTTCTCCAGCACTTTCATCAGTAAAGATGGAGGGGGAAAAGTGTAAGGATCTGGAACATCTGTCCAGTGGAAAGACATCCAAGGCGTCAATATTCCAAGCCCCCTTTGTTCAAATTCTGGAGACAAACCTGAGAATATGTGCAGAAGTCTTGGATGCAAAATATCTGGCCAAAATTGCTTTCTATCCATTGGAATAAAGCAATCTTTAATTGTACTGTTGCCAGAAACAAACTGACGAGAAAGAAAATCTACATCAACGCAATGTGCCAAGTGCACGTACCAGAGCTGAAGGACACAGCGTTGTTGCTGGATATCATCTGCCGAGACCTGCCTGATTCCCTTCTGCCACACTGTGTGATGTTGTGGCACGCTTCCACTATTACATATCAAAGGAAGCCCTGCTCAGGACTGCCTGTTGTGGTTTATAGTTCACAGTACATTCAGTAGGTGGAGCCTTTTCCCTACGTCCACGGACTTATACCTATTGACTCGCAATGGACTACTTCAATGGCAAGCTATATTCATTGTTCATCGGATACGTAAGATACATAAAACAAATTGCAACAAAAAAACGTTGAGAGCTATAATAAAAGAGTTGTTAAAATTATATATGGCTTTCCAAGATGTAATGCCCTTTTTGGGCTCACTTTAGCTGTTTAAGGGTTTCTGCTGCTCCATCTGACCCCTCATTGCGTATATAGCTGCGCCAGACGTCATAGGTTGTATGCTAAAAGAGCAAGCGCTCCGATGCATCTATATGTGGTGGGCACGCAAAGGGCATATGGTATGATGTCTATATGTTTGATATAATCTATAACAATTGATTTATTGTCTGTTCCGCATGTACTTTGTTCATACCAGTACTGGGACACACATTTCTTAGGGAAGCCCAACTTTTCGCCCTGTGTACCCCAGTAGTAGTACTATCAGAATCTTTATAGCTAGGGGCTGACATGGTGCAGGGGCGACCACCTAGCATACTTACAGTACAATTACAATGCTTCTCAGAGGGTGGGATAAGGGCACATAACCAATGGTGCTCCAATACACTTATAACTACTGAATACTAACTAAAAGCGGGCAGTGTTTGCGAGTGGCATACAACTGGATGGATAAGATATTGCCCATAATTGCCAAGTCTATACTGCTCACTCAAGGAGTCAATTATAAGAAAGTATGGTATGCCCATAAGGACAAG